ACATCAATCAAAATAAAAGGATATGAAAATATTGAACAACCAAAAATAAAAGAATTTAGCAATTCATACCGTATATTGGATTAAAGAATAATTCACAAACTTACTCAAAGGGCATTCCCTTTAACCTTAGCTAGAGTTCTAGCAACTCATTACAGAGGAAAACATAACTAAATTTTGAATGAAATGGATAAAGAAATCTGTCGTAGAGGTTCTTGCCAAATAAGTTGATGGGTGATTTATAGTAGTCAATGAGGTGAGTGGGAAGTTAATACATTCTTGGTGGGTAATGAAGGGTTTAAGACAGTGATTAATTGGATTAAACATGTGATGATGGTGGAGAGTTGGTGGAAAAGAAATAACGGTAAGGTAGTGGGCGTTAAATGGCTATGAATGACATGAAATAGGCTCTTTAGCTTCAACGGTTTTGTCTTCTCTTCTCCTTCATTATAATCACAATAATCCCACAATCAATTCTTCAATAAAATCCACCAACAATTCTCTTCACACCTGGCTTGAACTTGGACAAATGTATGTTCATCTTTTGGCTTCCCAATTTCCTATAAAAGATAAATTTACCTAATAAGTTCACCAAATTAATATAGAAAATTCATAAATCCAGTTGGTGAGAATAAAATGTAACAACAAGTGAAATTATATTTATTAAGCCAAAATTATATCATAAAGTCTCCAAAATAATATTAAAAAGATGTAATTTGAGACTCTCATCACCCCTAAAATAGTTGAGAGTGGCAAAGGATCCACTAGTGTAGTGGTTTGGAGTATTTTCTCCATCAGGCAAGGTCCTGGGTTCGAGTCCTAGCATCCGTGAAGTGTGTGTGAGTTTAGTATGCTATCGCTCCTCTCAATAGGAAAGGTCTTCAAAAAAAAAAAAAAAAAGTTGAGAGTGAGGTAAGCTTCAAAATATGGTTAAAAGTCATTTTTAACCGTACAGAATGACGGAAAATTCAAACTGGGTCGACACCATGACTAATACTGGTAACGTAATTGGAGTTCAATGACCACCAAAGCCATTTTGCAAATTCAATGACCAAAATACAAATCAGGTGTAAGTTCAAGTACTATTGCTACATTTGCTTTCCACTCCATAAACAATAGTTAATTGTTTTCTAAACATCAATGTTACTGCCAAAGCCTCTTTCTTTATTTTTTTATTTTTTTTTTATGAACCCTAGCCAATAAAGGTTGGTGAACATCCCATTAAAATTCTCTCCGAACATGTTTCAGTATTTGACAGTCCAAGAAGGCTACACCAGTTCGAATGCTCCCAAATTTGAATACGTTATGGTAGACATCCGTGAGAACAACTTTCATGTAGGAGCCAACTTCATTTGAGCAATGGAAGTTTCATTTCGAACACATGCAATCTGACTGGTTATGAGCTAGTAAATTTGGCCATGTTTTGGTTGAGCCATATGGGAAGTATTGGCCACATCTTAGCCAGAAGTGTTACCAGAATTGGCCATTAAAAAATATGTGCTCCACTATTATTTGACTTTAGCTTGACAACGACAGTATTTGGAGTCAATTAAACTTTAAAATAAGAGTTTCGTTCCTCCCATCCAGTCCTCTTCTTGAGGAGAAACACTTATGTGTAACGGGGATAGCAAAACAGTGCTATCTCCTTTCATATAAGTTTTTCTGCTTCTTGAGAGAGAGCCAATGAAGTTTGCATTGGAAGTCTCTCTTTGACGTAGTGATGGGGGCGGCTAGGAAAGTTTCTATTGTGCGGTTGGTTTTTTACCACTTTCTCAGTTTGCAGGAGATGTTCGGTGTGGGGCCTAGGAAAATTTGTAAATTTACATTGTGCGGTTGGTATTTTTACCATTTTCTCAGTTTGTAGGAGATGTTCGGTGTGGGGGCAAAAGAAAAAGAAAGAAAGTCTTGTTAGTTGCATTGCTTCTAACTCTTATAAATTTTCTCTATTAACCTAAACACAAACCGGTGGGCAAATGGCAAATACACCACGAAACATGCAAGTATTGAAGATCCCCTACCACCAAATGGCTCATGGCCTCCTTTTCATCCTCTTATTCTCTTCCATTTTATCCACAAATCATGCATGCAATCAATCTCAAAGCAGCTCTCTTTTGTCCTTTGCCCTCTCACTGTCTTCTCCTTCTTTGAACTGGACTTCCATTGATTGTTGCCATTGGGAGGGCATCACCTGTGATCACGACGGTTGGGTCACACATTTGGACTTACCCTCCAGATCAGGGCTCAATCTCAAAGGAGGTGTTTTTCCCTCAATTGAAAATCTCACTCATCTCACCTACTTGAATCTCTCTCACAATTCACTCTATGGTTCACTTGAATCCGGTTTCTTCTTATCCTTGAATCGTCTTGAGATCCTTGACATGAGTTCGAACCTTCTTTTTGGAGAGCTACCGTCTTTTATACCATCCAACACTCGCATGGTGGACTTGTCCAACAATCACTTCCATGGTGCAATTCCATCTCCATTCTTCCGACAAGCTAGGAATTTGACTAGTTTTAGTGTCAGGAACAACACCTTCTCAGGTTCTATCCCATCCTCGATTTGTCTTCATTCTTCTCCCTTGATCAGGCTGTTGGATTTTTCCTTCAATGAATTCAGCAGCAATATTTCTGGTGGACTAGGGAAGTGTGCCAAACTGCAAATTTTTCGTGCTGGTTACAATAACCTCTCAGGATCACTTCCAGAAGATATCTATAATGCTACCACACTTGAAGAAATAACATTACCTAGTAATGCGATTCGTGGAGACATTAAGGAGGAAATTGTCAACCTCATCAACCTTACAATCCTTGACCTCTATCTCAATCAATTGAGTGGCATGCTCCCGATGAATATTGGGAAGCTCTCCAAATTGAAATTCATGCTTCTTCATTCCAACAATCTAAAAGGTTCTCTGCCCCCTTCTTTGGTGAATTGCACAAACCTTGAACAACTGAACCTCGGATCAAACAATTTAGAAGGAAACCTCTCCATGCTTGATTTCTCCAAACTTAGTCACCTTAGTAAACTTGACGTTGTGAGTAATCACTTCACTGGTGTCTTCCCAACTAGCCTTTACTCATGCAAGTCCCTGAAAGCACTTCGATTGAGCTTAAATGACTTAGATGGACGAATAGAGCCTGAGATTCTTTCATTGAAATCATTGTCCTTCATCTCGCTTTCTGGGAGCAGATTGTCCAATATCACAGGGGCAATGAATATATTGATGCGCTGCAAAAGTCTCAAAGTGCTTATACTTTCAAACAATTTTGTAGGTGAAGAAATGCCAAATGGTGATGGCATGGTTGATGTTGATGGATTCCAAAATCTTGGTATTTTGTCTTTTCGCGGTTGTGAGCTCACTGGTTCATTACCTGGATGGTTATCCAAACTAAAGAAGCTAGAGGTCTTGGATATGTCCTTTAACAGAATCACAGGCTCAGTTCCAAGTTGGTTGGGGACTTCTCCCTGTTAGTAAAGTCAAAGACAAAACATAGACATCCCTAAATGGCTTGTCTACCACCTTGTTACTTTTCCTTGTTTTCATATTCCTTGTTTTAGGGACGGAAACTCTCCATGTTTCCCTCCATGTCTTGTGCATTGTTTGTAACTAATAATCACCTTGTATACTTGTATATCTAACCCTTCACTAAGTAAGAACCTCAATTGGCAGATTTGAATTCTCTGCAAAACCTATCTTGTTCTTCTTATTATACATTCTCAACTCTCTCAATTACACTATATTTGGCACTCCCAGCCTCTTTCACATAAACTTGGGCAACAACCGAATTTCAGGTGAACTTCCAAAGCAACTTTATGAATTACCAATGTTGTTATCTGAACAAACTGCAGCTCAAGTAGAGCATACATATCTTGAACTACCTTTCTTCGTCAAACCTGCAAGTGATGCATACGTTTTGCAGTACAGTTCTCTGTCTTTCTTTCCACCAGCAATATACCTATACAATAATAGCATCAATGGGAGTATACCAACTGAGATCAGCCAATTGATCCTTCTTCGTACATTAGATCTTAGCCACAACAATGTCGGTGGAAACATTCCCGACGAATTTTCCAGCCTGGAAATGTTGGAGACGTTGGATCTTTCAATGAACCACTTGTCCGGAGAAATCCCAGCATCATTGACAAGCCTTAATTTCTTGTCCTCTTTGAACGTATCGTATAATAATCTCGAAGGGCCAATACCAAAAGGCACTCAGCTCCAAAGCTTTGATGTCTCTGCATATGAGGGGAATCCAAAACTTTGTGGTGCCCCTCTTTGGAATGATTGTCCGCTAATTAACGGTAACAGCCAAGATGTCGAGACTAAGCATCAAATTCCATGGTTTTATACTTCTGTTTTGCTTGGCTTCATCGTAGGATTTGGTGGATTGTGTGGTCCTTTAATGCTTAAGAAGACATGGAGAGACGCATATTTCCAATTCCTAAACAATGTACAAGGTAGGATCTATTAGCTGTTGTGTTTTCATTGGGCCAGTTGGCATGCTATTAGTGGTACACGTGTCATGTTTGTTAGATGTATTGGTTGTTCAGTTTGCTAGGCAGTTGTATTACTTAGTTTACAAGTCAGTACCAATACTGATTAGTTGTGCAAGCAAAGCAAGACGGCGCCCTGTCATAGGGATGCAGAGAAAGTTTGGAAACTAGATTTGAAGTACTCGCCTTCTATATTTTGTAATTTCAGCTTTTTTTTCTTTTCTTTTTCTTTTGGCTATTGTAAGGCACAGCTTTGTCTTGCAACACTAGAATGGAATACTTTGATGAGGTTTTGGCTTTTGACCTAGCAAGAATTCTATAGTGAGGCCCTTATCTAAGGCCCTTCGATGAGGCCATATCTCTTAACCGTTGGATCAAATTGGTTAGCTTGATATAACGGTTAAGAGATAGGACATCATCTAAGAGCCTGAGTAAAGCCCTCACTATAGAATGACCTAAAATGGCGGATCCGCATATCACAGTAGTTATTTACATTAAAAGGCCCATAAACCAAACAAACAAACAAAAATGTATATTCAAAGGCCCAACTTACAAGTTCTAAGCCACCACAGTTGGAAGATACATGCAAATGCAATGCCAGTCCTTTTCCGCATGGGTTGATAGAATTAATAAAATTAGAGAAATTTTTACATCAACAACCTTGCAGGGTACCTTCAGCATCTGATGACTAGTTTCAGCGGTGCACAAAGCTGTTCCAGAACAGACTCCTTTCCAGTTCTGAGATGACACTTGTATTTCATATGCTTCATGTAGCTAACTCCAATTTTTTGTCACGTGGCACAAGATTTGCTTGTGTCCTCGTTGCAGCTCTGCCTGTGAACATATATGATTTACAGCCATTTAAAGTGATTATTTTGTCTTCTTGGGCATTCAAACATCACAAGACCATGGAAAATTCATGTAGGAAAGAGGACATAATCAAAGATTCAAGAGGGATAAAAAGAAGGGGGAGTGAGGAGGCAGGAAAGATGACACAAACAAGTTTTCAGACACATCTGTGTATCATGTGGGCAGAAAGTTATTCCATTTGCATATTTGTACAAAACAGATGCAAGCACACATAGTACAGGTTAGTTTCTGAGATTACCAAGAACTCTAAAATACTTTCCCAGAATAAGAGAATACACATCATTAAGTCAACCAAAACTGTACACATGATTGTAGATAGACCATATGAACCCACAAACATTTATCGCACCTCCCAAAAAGAAATATTGATTAAATAGTAATACAAGCATGCATGCATTAAACAGACAAGATAAGAACTGACCTTCCTCTTTTTCTGTTTTCCTCCTGTTAGACCAAAGAAGCCGAATTGGAGTCCCCAAAAACCCCGCATCTGAACGCAGTTGCTTCTCCATATAACGGCGGTACGTCTCGGGGAAAAGTTTTGCATCATTGACAAAGAACACAAATGTTGGTGGCCTTATAGCTGCCTGCAAATGGATACAAAGTAATGCACATAATTGTCATGTTCATAAGAAAATACTGGTTTGCAGTTAATCACATGCAAGTTTGAAAGAACAGATACTGTCCTAGGGATAGGCATGCATGGAAAATAGTTAATACAGTCAGTTTGTAGCACTGAATCATCTAAAACCTAATAACAGTAGAAAACTGTACTTTTCCAGGTCTTAACAGATCATGTTTTCTGTTCATTACAAGAAAAAAATATCAATTTCGTTGACACTAGCATCCAAAGTTTGCGATAAACCAGGGTGTTGCTTGGCTGCAAGAGTATGATCAACAGAATGCAAGAGATATACCAACCACCCAAAAAAGATAAAATGCATCCTGCATAAAACAAGAACCTGAGTGCAGTAATAAATGCGCCCTCTTTTGCCACCTCGTGTCCTCGGTGGTGATTTAAAAGCTAGTGCTTCCTGTACAACTTGATTTACTACAGAAGTACTAAGCCTTCTTGATCTCTCTTTCTCAACTGTGCTAGCAGCAATGATAATCCTAAAACCAAGGACAATAATACCATTAATGTAGCCCATGGCCAACATATCTGCAATATGAAAACAAATTCTTGGCATTTACAGAGGTTTTCTATTAAGAATAGTATACAATACTAAGACCTTAAATTCCTGGAAACTTCAAACCATTTTGAAAATGAATATAGAAAATTATGCATAGGATTCTTGTGAGACTCCATTTGTAACCTGTATAGTCTTTTATTGATAAGGGACCCTGTATAAAAGAACGTATATAACTCATAAACTAAAAACCGAAATTACAAACTGGTTTAAGCCTAAAGTCGATAGGAAATAATACTGAAAACCTTATAAGAAAACTACCACCATCTGCGTTTCACATCATGCAACTTCTTTCTGTAGGAACAAGTATAGGTTATATATACAACTATGATATCTAAACAAGAATCCGAAGCTTAACAAACATCTATTAGAAGATGCAGCAACATCAAACTATCTTCAAATATAACCCATCATATTGACAACAAATTGAAAACTTCTTCCAGTTAGAGGTGCTCCACTCATTTATCTTGTGGTGTCAATAGAGAATAAGGGTTTCTTCACATGCATGAAGTTAAAGACTGCAGTTCCTAAACTATAAAAGAGATGCTGTTAACAGAAAACATACTTGTCAACACTTTGACCAGCTATTGCAGTTGAATATACAATAGGTGCCCAACCAAGAACACGAAGCTTTTCCCTAACATCCTGCTCATAGTATGTCGCAGTCTGCTGGTTTTTATTCGGTATGGTATCCCATTTGTTTACAACTATCAGGCAGCCTTTACCTTCTCTTTCTATCCTTTCAGCAATCTTGCAATCCTAAGAGATCAATATAAACAAAACAAAAGTTAGAAATCTTACATGTGGAAAAGAAAATATCTCATAAATAATAAGTCCAAGGTGACATTGCTTGAAGAAATTTTGAGATGCATTTTATAAGAAGCAATGCTTAAAAAAATGTCTTAAAAGACAACAAAAAAAAAAAATACGATAAGTTTTCACTAACACTCATTCTTCTATGAGTTATTAGGTAATAAACTGAATTTAATCAACTAAATACTAGAAATATCAATATCTTTAGTATCAAAGAGCTTTCATGAGAACTGGACCAAATATATATGGTTGAAAGTATTCTAAAACATGACAACTTTTTTTGCTATCTTTTTCAGTAAAGTACATCCAAACTGAATAGCTCGAAAGCTATCTTACCACTGATCCTTGTGTCTTAATTAATTTTCATTTCAAAAAGAGAATTCCCCTTGTTTAAGGGTACATAATTTGAAACTAAACAAATGGCTCACATTCAGAGAAACACAATATCACAAAATTTTGTTCATTGAAACTTATTTTAAAACCTGAAAGATAAAACTAAAAAACCAACAGATGCCAACAAGACACTCAAAACACTCAATTTTGCTCGTTAATCGTTTCAAGAAAACCATAACTTCCTAAAGTTCAATAGACATGAATGAGACAGCCTTTCAAGTCTGCAAGGAATTGATTGGGTATGGAGAGGAATGTTAGGCCGTTTACACTGTATTGTGTTTCAAATATTATTAAAAGAAACGACGAAAGATAAGAAATCTAGAACATGGACGAAAAGATAAAAAAGTAACATATAACCAAAACATCCATAAAGTTATATCATGACTTATTTTAAGAAGTTTCTTTTTGGTAGTGGTAAAAAAGAATGGACAAAGTACCTGTTCTGTGATACAAGCCAGGGCCTCAATTACAAGAGCCACAACATCAGAACGACGAATTGCACGAAATGCTCGATTTACCGATAAAGCCTCTGTCATGCTACCTGATGAAGCAACGACTGCTCTTCTTCTGATTCCAGCAGTATCAATTAGCCGGAACTTCTGCAAAACAAAAAAAAAGTAGAATAATATAAAGGATTACTGATCTGACAGTTGTCCACTAATATCTTTAGCTTGTAAACCGACAATTGCTATAGGATCCCATCTAAGACTGCATATGAGTAGACCTGAACCAAACTATTGATTGTTTGAGCTCGGCTTATACTTGAGCTTGCCTAAACAGCCTTAAGATTTGCCTCGAGGAAACTTCCCAGGCTTGATGATGCAGAACCAATAGGAGAAGGGAAAGGGGGAGAGAAAGATAAGGGAAAGGGCGTTAAGAGGAGAAGAACAACAGCAGGCAAATAGGATTTGAATATTTCATAAGGCAAGTATATTAGCAAAGAGTCAGACCCTAGCCCACCTTTCTACCTAAACTATTAGAAAATCTCCATGTGTCTTTAACAAACCGAATAAAAAGCCAGGATAGAAGCACACACAAACAGAGAGAAGAAAATAAACAAAAAACATTAAGCAATCTGAGCTTGAATAATTTGCAAGTGCACAGTTCTTTTGTAAGCCCAATTCCATGATTCATTCAATAAAATCAGCACTTGAATTTCAATTTTGGTAAAAGATAAATAGTGGAAAGTAAGAATAGCTTGAGGTAAATGAACTCTTAGGCTACGCATGATGGTTTCGTCTCAAGATACAAGTTTGCCATCAAACTTTTCATAATCATTGATTTCACTAGAAATTCTCTTGGTATTCCTAGGCAGAATTCTACATAGAGGAAATTTTATAAAAGCTCCATTTAAAGAGTGGATAAATACTGTTGTGAAAAGCACCTGATCTGAAGTGTTTTTTATGATTCTTCAGTTTCATATTAATATGTAGTAGATTTGCATAGAATGTTTTGTGTAATAACTGCCAGAAATATGTGGTATAAAATGTATAACTGTAAACCAATCAAACCTGTCCATCTGGTCCAATAAATTCAATATCAATAGCATCACGGGTAGTTCCACTGACTGGGCTAACAATTGTTCTGTCCTCCCCAACCAATGCATTCAAAATGCTACTTTTACCAACATTTGGTCGCCCAACAATCGCAATTGCAGGAACATAATCTTCTTGTTCAGCAAAATCTTCTGGGTCCTATATATAAGCATAATAAAATGTCATAAAGAAATTACAATATTTATAGAACGGGCCAACAACATGCTATTTTGGGATAATGAAATTACGAGAAGCACCAGATTTTTTATACTAAGGACTAAGAAGCATGCAGAGATTCTAATATTGAACTGAAAAGTTCACTAACAAGCTCAAAATGAGCAGCTTGCTTCCTACAAGTGCTACTTCAAAAGTGAGTAACAGATGGCAAAGTTAAGCCAATTAAACTCCAGTATTCAACAAAAGGCAGTTAAATTTGAAGATTGATATAGCCTAAATAAAATTCTGTGATTACAAACCTCAATCTTTTTCAGCCCTGAACACACAAGATCAAGAAGCTCTCCAGTTCCAGTTCCAGAAATAGCAGATATAGGAAGTGGTGAAAACCTGGTCAACCAACCAAAAAGCCTTCTGCACATTAATATAAGGATGCTACATTTTTATGTATCCACTAGATGCAAAACTTAAAATGTGCCTATGTGTACCATCATTGTGGATTGTAAATACTAACACTAATGAAAAGAACTAACCATAATGAGAAACTCAGAGATTTTATCCTCCCCAAGTATCAGATTTCGGAAATCAATTTTACATTAACTTAAGTATTATTAATGCAAGCTAAAAACAAACATATCACAAACAAAAAGCTTAATAGAGAGGTGTAAACTTCCTATATTTCTAATCCATCTTAACTGCCAGAGTCAACCTAAGTCTTAAAAGAATATCTTCATTAAAGCAAGAAGACACTATGCAGTCATTTAGTAACAGAAACATTCTCTTAAGAGCGAAACATAACAGGTTCACTAACATTTTTTTGTTCGAGGAATAAAAAACTACATCCATAAGCAAGGAGCACTCTCCTCAGGGCAGAAAATAATAAAAGAGGTTCTAGTTGAGGTAGGAGAGACACTATAATTAGTTTACAAAAGATGAAGCTAGGTGGACATAAGAAATCCACAGGTATAACTCTTTTTCTGATAAGAAATCCACAGGTACAATTCGGAACTTATATCTTTTATGGTGACAATTTTTTTTAAAAAAAAAACAATAATCTAGAAAGGTTAATATGTGCAAGCCTAATTAGATAATAAATATATTAGAAGGCTTCAGGACAGTTGTCGAAAACATTGTTGATTTTATTATATGCTTAATTGGTCTGTTTTGGTGTCTTGTCTAGATTGCTAATAAAACATTAGTTTAGATGTTGGAACAATAAAAATAAGTTATCCTAGAATTGAATTTTTTTTCTTTATGAAAACAGTTCATGTTTCAGGAAAAAAATAAAAGTTCATGTTTCAGGAAAAAATAAAAGTTCATGTTTACAAGCCTAATTAGATAATAAATAGACTAGTAAGGCTTGAAAAAATTGTTCCTTTGATTATTATATGCCTGATTTTTCTGTTTTAGTGTCTTATCTAAGTTGGTATTAAAGCAGAGCTAAATTGGAACTATTACCAGCCTATAAGGGTGAATAGCATATTTAAAACAACAAAAAGAAAGTGTGTACCCCTACGATAATGCTATCATGCATCACCAAGGACAATGCAACACATATAACCTATTCAACAGGAAGTATAGTAAGATAGAAGGAGAATTTATTATCTAATACTTTGTCTATTCTGGATTGAACAAAACAGGGTATACCGAGCACCTAAGTTCATTAGACTAACAGTTTTTTTTTTTTTTGTCGCACATTAGACTAACAGATCAACATTACTATTTATCAGCTTTTAAAAGAAAATTAATGCTACTGATCTTAAGACCAGAACCCTTTTGTAAAAAAATTAGTAAAGAATGGATAAAAGTTTATCTCACCCTAACGACCAAAACTCTGATGCTTGCATGATCCCTTTACGTGGAGATTCACACTTGTTAACTGCAAGAATGATGTACTTATCTGAGTAGTTCTTACGTAGCCAATCTGAAATTTCCTCATCAGCTGCAGTTAGACCTGCCTGTTTATCACTGTCAATACTATATACTGTTATCTTTATAATTCTAAACCCAGGCACCTTTTCAAGGCGACAGGCTTCACCATAGTATGTGTTAATACGAAACCTCCAAATATGCACTTTTATGAACTCATATCATTTATCCACATGGTTGTCATAATTGAAAATTAGTGTCAAAATAAGATGGTTATTATTGTAAATCAATTGGAAACAAATCTTTTCGGAAATTATGGAATCATACTACTCCACCTCATGACCAGTTTTTGACTAACTTTTATTATTCCTCGTAGTATTCAACTTTTATCTTAGAAGAAACACAGATCGATACCACTCAAGCAAAAACACATCACATTCAATTCAAAAGTCCCGCCAATCAAATGAATTGTCCTAAAAGGAATATTTCTAAAATGCTTTTACAAAGATGCGCAAAAGAAAGCCAAAAATTTAATGCTATCAGAAAGTGGATGCATTTCCTCATCTTACCATCATAAACTTATATGTGTTTCAACATGGTGTACTATTGTAGAATTTCAGTGATACAATTTTGTTTAATATTACTAATATTTCACATATGTTTTTTGACTTTGAAAGGTTTGAGAATACCAGTATCACTACCTAATACTTGAATATGATTATAGTTATCACTTCAAAGGTATATATGTAATTATTTTTCATTAATTAATATGGCCCATTGCAAGTATATAAATATGTATATATATAGTTATATGTTCCTGTTATTTAATACTACCCTCTCCAGAAATGTATAGATCACTTTGGGGCTAAAACTAGATTTTTAATAACTTTCCCACAATTGTATAATCAATTTGGCCCTAAGAAAATTTTCTTTAATGTGTTTTATTGGGCCACCAAAACAATATGTAGAAGCAGCATGACTAATGTTAGTAATGCAACATTTACATCTTCAGAAAACCTAAGCATATTGCAGGCTAGAAGCTCATATTTTCTTTACACATACCAGCCGGAAGCTGGCCAAAGAGGCACATTGCAGTGATCCCACAAGTACGTACCGAAAACTATACCTTGCCATCAACGAGGAATATAATGACAGATGATTCTTCAACCGCTGCAGTAGCTTGTTTCTCTATCATCGAGGGCATCCTGGCAACAGCTGCCTCCCTGGAGGCAAGTGGAATGCCATCCATACCAATGGTTGTTGAAATAGCTAATTCTTCCATGACATTAGCCTGGGACTTCGAAACTGTAAGAACACCACCAGTATCCACCACCATAAATTCATGATCCCCCCAAAAGGATCTACCATAAAGGCGATCCCTAGTAACCCCAGGCTCATCGACTACAATTGCCTTGTTCCCCTGCAAAACATAAAAATAAATAAAAATAGAAAGAACCAAAGAAGAAGTCAACTTACAGAATTAAAACCATTGATATAGTTACATCTGGAAGCTTGAAATTGTATATTCCTCGGTATCAAAAAGTATTGAAACTAAATAGTAAACAGAAGACCAGATTCTGATTAAGTACCGAGACAAGGCGATTAAATAATGCTGATTTACCAACATTCGGTCTTCCAACAATTGCTACCCTTGGAAGAAGATGGTCAGGGATCTGCAAATGAAATTTGAATGGTTTAGCGAATATGAATTTTCTCTATTTTTCCTTCACAAAAACAAAAAGAGTCCCAAACTTACATTATTTGAAAATAACAGTCTGATTGCATTATAGAAATCAACAATACACTTAGCAAAAACCGCAAAAAGTAAAGAAAAAAAGAAGTAAAAATGCTCCACAATTATAAGAAACAGAATTGAGGATATATGCAAAGACCACACACTTTGAAAAATTGTTCATGATACCTAGTTAGAATAACCAGAACAACAAGTGCAGTTTTCTTGAGGAACCGCCACCAATTTGTGATCCTAGTAATGATTTGCGACCTACAGCATATTCATTTTTATCAATTCCTAAGATCAAGGGCCTGAGGTCCGAAGTGGTAAAGAAAACGATAACCACTATAATATGAAGATCTTGAATTCATTTACATTAGTCTTGGCCATGCATGGAGATCATGGGCGCCCAGAGCATCTGTTGCGAGTTTCAAGCAACAGTTATCTCATTCTTACCATCCCATATAATGAATTTAATGTTTCTAAAGAACGTGAAAGGCACAATTATGCTTTATGGTTCTGATATCTCATTATTAAAAGCCCCAAATTCCTAGAAAAATACCAATCCCAGACATAAACTCTCACTACTTTCTCATAAAAACTATGAAAATGACCATGATAAGACGCTTACTTACACTTTTAACTGTACTTTTCTGCCTCCTCTGCTTCCGACCAACTTCCTCTTGGTCATCCTTCTCATCTTCTGAAACCATCAGATGACGGATATGTAGTCATCATACACAACCAAATGACACAAGACACAATGATAACTTGGTCATCAATAATGCCCAAACAAAATGAGGAACAAAACTAAAGTTAAATTATTTTTATCAAATGTGGAAAATCCTTTAAAATGAAAAAAAAAAAAAAAAAAAAAACGTTGAAAAAGTTAATGCAGCCTTATTTCTTTTTGAATTTTTTGGAAAGAGTCAGCAGCTTTCAGAATAGTTGGGTGAAATTATGAACAGGGTTCGTCAGATACAATCAAAATCGGCTATTTCCCCCTACTCTAATTGCAATTCAATTTCCAGGAATACTATACCAAGCATCAAAACTATAGTCTAAGGAGCAAATTACACGCAGAGACAAACGCACCGATTCTGAGCTGGCTGGACAAAGAGGATGAGAACTCTTGAACCACGTATCGAGCGTCTTCTTCGAGGTCATCGACGTCGACCGTTAATAAATCGTCTCCGCCGTCCGACTCAGTCACGAGCTCTCCTACTTCTTCTTCCTCTTCTTCTTCTCCTTCTTCTTGTTCATCTGTTATGGAGATATTGAAATCATTGGTGGAGAGGTGGGAAAGGAAGCGAGGAAGAGAGGGAAGGCAAGTGTGGAGGAAAAGCGAAGGAGTGCGAAGAATTGGAGGAGAGAGAGATTTGGGGATTGGAAATGAGGAAGAGAGAAGAGAAAGGGTTTTGGAGAGAGTGGGAGAAGTGGAAATTCCTCTGTAGCACAAGAGCTCTGTTGTTGGAGCTGCCATTGTCTGTGTAAAAGCTTTCTGAGTTTTCTGGGTGGGAGGTTTATCCACTTCCGCGCCTGGATTGGTGGGGTTTATGCTTTTATTATAAATTTTCAAATTTACTGCTAAAATTATTCGACCAAAAGGGCGTTAAAATTTCATCCCTTGCAGGCAGAGCTAGAAAATTCGTTAAGGAGGGTCAATATCAAATAATAAAATCATCGCAAAACAAGATAAATTTATCTAAAAATACAAAGTCTTTAAGAATAACTCATATATGTCATCCCAATACATTTACAATCGCTCATGTCTTGAAATATTTTCATAATCACTTCATTATAAATAATATCAAATTTCGGAATTCAGATAATAAAGAAATCATATAAACATTATTGTTCTTAATTTGAGATAATAAATAAATTATAAATAAATTTAAAAAAAAAGTGGTTTAGTAATTCTTAAGTTATTAAAAAAAGTAAAGAGAAAAAAACAAAAAAGAGAGTTATAACAGCTTGCGGAACTTTAGTCAAAAGGGTCAGATAGAATAAATTATAAACAAATGCAAGGTTATTTAGATACGTTGACCTATTGTTAACCTTTCGGGCTGGTTTGGTGCCTACTATTGTTTTGGAGGATCACGAGGCTCTGTATTTAGCATCAATGCATTGTGTGCATTTACTAAAATCTTTACCATTTGATTAATCTAATGAGGTCAATCCACATCAGCATAGTTATATTATCTTAAAAAATTACATGTTGTACCGTATCACCCCTTTCACAACCTCTCTCTCTCACGTCTCCCTCTTCCCAGATTCCTGGATTCCCATGGCTGCCATCACTCAACAGTCCAGCCCTAATGATAAAGTTGTATTTAATTTTCTTTTTCACTGTTAATTTCGCTTTGCCATAGAATAATCAATACTTGGGTATAATTTACTTGTGTTAATTCTGTGTTGATAAAAGGGAATTCCCATAACAACTTCAATTCCACGCACTTTCAATTTCTCCTCAACTTCCACAGAGACCATGTTCAATATAAAGATTAGAAGAATAATATTAATAATTATTTATTAATTAATCTTTGTGGGGCTTTTTCGTTCCAGCAGCTACAGATGGGTCTGCGCTGCTGTAAAGAGCGAATAGGTGGAGCTGCCATTGTGTCTGAGTTGAAGAATCAGGCCCTAAGAGTGCTTCAAAAGGTTCGTGGAGCCTTAGGAAACACCTTGGCTTCCTTCACCAACAAAACCAATAGTTGCTTACAAATAAATATTATGGCTTGGAATGAGAAGCTTGTGGCATGGGAGCTGAGCATTCATGAGTTTAGCATGAGAGAGAGAAGGCTTGGGTTTCCTATGAGAAACAGAGGCTCGAAGTAAGGGGGAGAGAGAATTTTGAGAGAATTTGTTGAGGGAAGAAAGGAAAGAATGAAGGAAGAGGAATGGGTGGCTTGAGCAAGTTTCCGGCAGCTTGACGAAAGCTTCGTCAGGCTCTTGAGTGGCTTGACAGAAGAGAAAAATGGAAGCAATGGAAGAACATGACTTGAAATCGAAGGGTTCCAGAGGTGAGAGGTGATGCTCCGCAACTTGACGAAAGCTTTGTCAAGCTTTTGAGTATTTTGCCAGAAGAGAAAAGGGGAAGCAATGGAAGAACAGAGCTTGAAATCGAAGGGTTCCAGAGGTGAGAGGTGATGCTTGCTCTCTCTGGATGTGTTTATGGGAGAGAGAGAGAGGAAGAAGATGGAAGCATGAGTGGCTTTAGCAGATTTCCAGCAGCTTGACAAAAGCTTTGTCAAGCTTTGGAGTATTTTGCCAGAAGAGAAAAGGGGAAGCAATGGAAGAACAGAGCTTGAAATCGAAGGGTTCTAGAGGTGAGAGGTGATGCTTGCTCTCTTTGGATGTGTTTATGGGAGAGAAAGGAAGAAGATGGAAGAATAGAGCATGAAATTAAAGGGTTCCAAATGGGATGCTTGCCTTCGATGAGTTGTTTGGCTGGGTAGAATGTGCCTCCTTTTATAGGCGTTGGAAGCTCCTTCTTCCCAAGAAACCCTAATTGGTTATCTCCAATTTTGCCAAGTCTTCTCCTCCCTTTCTATTCTCTTCCTTCGATTCAACCTCTTTTTATGAAATCTCCCCCAATTCAAATACACAAAGACAAGATTTTTGGGAGCTCTAGAGTCTTCCCGCAGCTGTCCCTGCGATCATCTCCTATTTTGGGCTACCCTTTCTCCTTCTTTTCTCCTTCATTTTATTGCAAGAGCTGGTGGGAGAAATGAGTGGGTAATGGCACTGGTCTGAAAGGTGTTTTGCTCAAGTATCCTTTGGTTTTTTGGATGGCTTGTGTTAGGATTTGTCTTTGGCCATGTGCTGGAGATTCCTAGCAGCATGCACAAGTCTCTATCCCTTGGTTTTCTGTCGTGGTTTTGTCTCTAGCCATGTACTAGAGACTTTTAGATTTTTCTAAGTCCCTTAGGCCATTCCCTAAGGTAATAGGCTAGTCTACTAAGGGGATGGGCCAACCTTCTAGGGTGATGGATTATTTTTTACTAAGGTGATGGGCCAATTTTCTAAGGTAATGGGCTCGAGTTTTGGGGCTCCCAAGCAGCCCAAAACTTCAACTTCTTGGCCCATCAATGGGCCTCGTGAATGCTCGTAACCATCCATACCACAACCCGCTCAGCAAGCCCTAGGCATTTGCGTGTCTTGGGCCCACCTAAGCTTGTAGCTTGGCTTGATGCAAAAATAAGGATTTTCTGCTTAGTGTTGTACTGGGCCAGAAATATATTTGGACCCAGCCTTGAATTTTTTTGGGCCTCAACAATCTTGAATGTACATGTATGTATCAAGTCCAGTATTATGTACGTATAATTCATTATTGATGCTTACCAATTCTCTAGTTTTTTTCAATTTGATTTCTTCGAATTGTTGATTGATTTTGCTTTTATTTGCCTTATAATTCATTAGATACGTGGTTTTGTTTCTTGTTTGCATATGAGACTCAGATAAGGAGGGGTTGGGATTAGATCACGGGAGAGATCACAACCATGGAAATAAGAGTCTGGGAGGAGGGTTCCTTATAAGAGACGTGGGGTGGGGAGGGTGTGAAAAGGGAAGGGGAAGATTGCGTTCATTAAAGATGGGGAAGGGTAATTGATACAGTACAACATGTGGTTTTAAGATAATATAACTATGTTGATGTGAATTCATTAGCCTTGTTAGATTAATCAAATGGTCAAAATTTTAGTAAATGCACACAAATGCACTGATGCTAAATGTAGAGGCACAAGATCTTGTTTTGGATTGAATAAGTCATTAAATCTAGGGAACTGATTTCCCCACTCCCTTTTTCTCCACTTACACTCCCTTTTGGTTTTTAATACTCTTTCCTATTATATACTTACCCTATATTAATTTCTTTTTTACTTCACTTTTATATTATTTCTTTTTCTTTATACTTAATTTTCCAACTTACACTCCATTTTCAATATTAAAGGGAAAAAAAACTTAATTTCTTACTCAATTAAAGGAAAAAAAAACACTGAAAATGGAGTGCAAGTTGGAAAATTAAGTATAAAGAAAAAGAACTAATATAAAAGGTAAGTAAAAAGAAAATAATGTAGGGTAAGGGTATAATAGAAAATAGAAAGAACAAAATTGATTAAAAAGTATTAAAAAGCAAAAGGAAGTGTAAGTGGAGAAAAGGGGAGTGGGGAAATCATATCCCTAAATCTAAGGTATTAAAGGTGGGCATCGATACTGGAACACCCAGCCGCACCAGATAGAAAAAATAGGAAAAAAATCGTGTTGACTAAAAAGTCAACAAACCAGCACCAAACCAGATCGGACTGGTTCAAATCGAACAAAACCGCATCAGACCAGACCGACTGAGTTTTTTTATTTTATTTTTAATTATTTAAGTCCAATGCTAAATTTCTAATCCCATAACTAATATTTTCCCAAGCCCAATTTCAAAGCACCTTAATTTTCTAGGCCTAATCATCTCTCTTTGCATGAAATTGGATCATTTGTGAATTTTTAAGCCCAAAAAATAAAATTTTAGTTTGAATTTGTAAAAAAAATGAAAAATGAAAAATATAAAAAAAAATATACAATCCGAATCGGAAAAATCAGAAACCGCACTAGAACCAATTTAAACCAGACTGGCCGGTTTCATAATTTTTTTTTTCAATAAAAACGGACCAAACCGAACCAAGTGAATACTACGGGTTCTGATTCTGGTGTGATGTGAAATCGGACCGGACCGAACCGCAGCCACTCCTATAAGGTATGTTGGAGGAAATGAGAGTAGACGTGAATGATTTTCCATTTTGGGAAATTATGAGGGATTAGTTATAGGATTAGGATCCTTTGCTTTGATTCTATCTGTCATGATCTACTTGACTTTTATCATTCACATGACACCTCATTATAATTTAATGTAAGGGACTTAAAAGTTGACACATCATCCTAAAAACAAAAACCCAATTTACTCATGTGGGGGGCTTTTCGTTCCGACAGCTACAGATGGGCATGGGTTGCTGTAAAAAGCAAATGGGTGAAATTGCCCCTTGTGTCTGAGTTCAAGAATTAGACCCCAAGAGTGCCTTGAAAGGTTCGTGGTGTCTTAGGAAACACCTTAGTCACCTTCACCAACAAAACCAACAATTGGTTACATATAAATATATGCTTGGCTTGAGAGGCTTGCAGCATGGAAGCTAAGCATTCATGAGTTTAGCATTAAAGAGAGAGAGAGGGCTGTGATTTCCTATGAGAAACAGGGTTTTAAAGTAAGGGAAGAAGGAATTTCAAGAGTATTTGTTGAGGGGAGAGAGGAAGAGATGAGGAAGAAGAAGTGGGTGGTTTGAGCAATTTTTCGACAGCTTGACGAAAGCTTCATTAGACTCTGGAATGGCTTGCCAGAAGAGAAAATGGGAAGAGGTGGAGGAAGAGGGCTCGAAATTGAAGAGTTCCAAGGATGAGAGGTAATGCTCGCTCTCTCTAGATGTGGGGTGAAATAATGGGTAGGAGAAACCCCCCTTTTATAGTCTCTGGAAGCTCCTCCTTCCCATGAAACCCTAATGGGTTCTCTCCAATTTTGG